ACACCTGTTGCCATGGAAGTGATTGGAACACCTGATTCTGGTTATTTGGATGGGTGAGCGAATACTTTTGGCAATATACTGTGTGAGGGTGACCTTTACCTTTATCTTAAGGGTCAAAGAAATTCTATGAGGGGGGGGGGAGAGTTGGATCATTTGTGGCAACGTAAGGACTCTAAAGTGATGACATGTTTAACTCCACCCTCCAGCTCTGTCTGCCCTTCTCCTACATGGACACAAAGATTTTGAAATTGAACTGAGGGTCTCCTCACTCTCTATATCCCACTTTGAGCAAAGACCACCCTCCCAGAGCATCCATATAGCTTTTACTCACCCTGTACCACATAAATATAGTTTTAAAAGCGTTTTCATTGGAGCAAGATCCACAGGACATGGTTACTACTTGAGAGAGGCCTTTAGGAGCAACCTGGCAGCGGAGAAGAAACACAGATCTTTCGATTCAAAGAGCATGTAAGGCTCGTCATAACTGAGCATTGCAACAAAATGATGCTTATTTTAACCACCACCCCGCAAATGTTTAAAATTAGCCCCAGTGCTAAAGGATACGGTTATGGAATCTTAATGGTTGGAAGTGCCATTTAGCCTACTGACTAAACCGTAAAGTCTACAAACTTGAAATTTGGCACTTATGTTCCTCTTGACTTCTAGGTGCTCGCTAAGAAAGGATTTTTCAAAATGAGAATCAGATCATTAGCTTTTCTTATAGAGTAATTAACACACTCCGATGCTAAGAAGTTCTACACCCCCTCCCCACCTGAAAAGAACTCTGTTCCAACTGCCAGTTGCCTCACATTCCATTACCTCATTTCAAACTGGCAGACATTCCACTCCTTCACTCAGGAGCGGTCTGGGGCTCCTTAAAGTACTAAACATTGGTACATCACCAAAATGTCTACGCCTTCTACCTATGGAACTAATTCCAGACTCAAGGTGGCAGGAGCGATATTCCCTTATATGTTTCAATCATCGACTACCACTGAGCCAACGGATTGAACCGGAGTGAACCAGATTTCTCCTGCATTGCCCAATCACATAGTTTCATTGCGAAGCATGGGTATCTATAATAGAGAACTCATAATGTTCCATGTTGCATCTTTTCAGGTGTTTGGGCTATCATTCCCTTATCCTTTTAAAATGCCAGACCTATCCAGTTTTCTCAGCCTCTCCTTGTATTTGCCAGTCCTGGAATTCTTCGCAAAACCCAATGCTGGATGTCAGTTTCACTGCTCCTTCGGTGCTAGATTAAAACTTACCGAAAGCAAAGATTCCTTTAGCTTTTCAGCAAAATTTTCTGGAGGCAAAATTCCTAGGGCAGGTCTGTTGACAAAAGTGCTCTGAATAAAGAAAAAAGAGAGAGAACAGAGGAAGGGAAGGAGAAAAAAGGAAAGAGAACAATGAAAGAAGAAAATAGAACAGAGAAAAGAATGGGAGAAGAGAAGAGAAGGGAAGAAGAAAAGGGAAGAGAAAAATGAAAGAAGAAAATAGAACAGAGAAAAGAAAAATAAGAGAAGAGAAACAAGAGAAGAGAAGAGAACTTTATCATGAATAGAATACAAACTTATCAAAGGGTCAACCAAAAACAGTGCATGAGGTGACCTTAATTGCCTTAAACAAAGAACACCCCCAATTTTGAGGCTTGCAACCACTCTTCCCCCAACCTGTAAGCCAAGCAAGCTCTTTCTGGTATCAGAATTTAGCTGGAGTGGAAACTATATGAGAGTATCTGCAGATGGAAGATGCTACTTATTACTGAGACGCTTTGGTGTCCTCTAGATTTTGAACAGATTTCTTTTCTTTGTGCCCTCTAGATCAGTGTTGCTTGACCTTGGCAGCTTTGAGATGTGTGGACTTCGACTCCCAGAATCCCTCAGGTGGAGAACCACTGCTCTAAAAGATTGCTTGGGTTTAACTTATGTCCAAATTTCTAAAAAATAACCAGGTTTTGCTGGTTTTGCCTTCAAAACTATTCCGTTGGTGATCCATCCTTGGCTCATCAAGAAAGATCGATCTTGTCATGGACATCCAGAGAAAAAGCTTATAATCAGTCTACATGTAAGAGGAGTTTACACAACATGCTAAAACCATTCATGTTAATAACACAGTTGTCTAGAGGGCATGTGGTTCTGTTCATATTACATGCCAGTCTAGCACTTGGGGTTCCCCAAACACCGAATTATAAGCTACCAAACCAGGGATGGGTTTCGGCAGGCACTACTGCTGGTTCACTCATGTGCATGCTTCATGCGCATGCACAGTGCAATTAAAATTGTTCTGCGCATGTGCAGAACTAAAAAACAAGGTGGTGGTGGCATTACCCGGGGAACTGGTTTGGGGGCGTGGTAAGCCTGGGTCGCTGCTGGAACTAGTACGAACCGGTAGGAACCCACCACTGTACCAAACACATGTTAGCCTAGTCTAGTTTGCTGCGAGCATCCTCCATCCATTTCTGATGCTTTGTGGGCAGCCTTGTCCAGCACACACATTAGCTTTGCAATGAAGAGCAGTGGCGATTACTGTCAGAATATTCATGAACTGGAATGGGCCATAGCAAGAGGTCAGCCATTGGAGACTGGCTGGAATAGGACAGGGTAACAAGGTCAGCCAATCCATAGGCATGGGAACTGGGTCAGCCAATGGGAACTATTTGGTGACTGAGAGCCATGCCAGACAGCTCAGAGCCTGGGCGTGGCTTACCTATGTAGTTCTGAGACTGTGCAAGAGAACTAATCTGGTCCGCTCTCTGAATTGAAACTACTTACAGCCTCTCCTCTCTACCATGTTGGAAGAATCTGCTGTTGGTATTGTACATTTATTCCTGTGTTATTATGTCTATAAAGAAGTTAATGAATCCTGTGGAATCCATTATGTTCTGGATTTGATTTTTCTGCAACAAACTCTGACAATTACACAGAGAATTTAAATTATGATGGAGATTAGTAGCCCCAGGGCAACACAACCCCAGGAAACCTTGCGGTAGCTCTTCAGACTCTCTCTCTCTCTCTCTCTCTCCCATTTGGCTGCTAACCAAAAGATGGTTGATATGAGAACCAACCCAGAACCAATCAGGGAATGAGTTCCTTTGGTCTCTCCTAGCTCAAGAGAGCAAGACAAAACCGTTCATGCCAACTCCTGTCATTCTCAGCCATTCCCGTAAAAATGGCTTATTTCGGAGACTCACCCCCAAGTAGGTGGGGAGGCTCCTGGTTCCAGCCTCAGAGACCCTGAGCAGTGGGTGAACGGCCCTGGGAAAGGACAGGCAGACACTCTGGGATCTTGGGGAGAAGAACGGAAGCTTCACAAAGAGGCAATTTATGCACTGTTTTGGCAACTTGGTACCTTCAGCAAAAGGTCACTTACCAGATTCTGGGGCTGTTGTAAAAGTTTGATCAGAGATGGGTGGCTGTAGCCTAGAAGGAAACACAGAGACCATTGTCATCTGCTTTCAAGAAATTTCCCATTAAATTGCTCCCCAGGCAACTGGATTTTGTTTTTCCTTGAAGATGTTTTCTTCTCACCCAACAGGCTTCGTCAGTTCTGACTGAATGGTGGAGGATGGAAGGATTTATATTTCTTGCAGTGATCTGGTCATTAGTGCTCTCTCTGAGAGTTGCTGTGGCTACTTGGAGGTTTATCTATGCCCTCAGGGTCACCTGAATAGTGCAAATGGTTTGCCAATTGCACAGTGGCAAATAGGAGAGTGCTCCAGAGGGTCAACATCATTGCCCAGAGGATCATGGGTTGCCCTCTCCCCTCTTTGGAAGAGCTCTATAGCTCCCACTGCCTTAAGAAACTTCAAAACATTCTTAAAGACCCATCTCATCCTGGGCACCCTTTTTTTCCAACTATTACTATCTGCCAGACGGTACAGGATAATAAAAACAAGGACAGACTGAAAAACAGCTTTCCAAAGCAATAACTATACTGAATTCTACTGTATAGTGCAATATTGATGCAATATCAGGTTTTCAATTATATAGCATGTGAAGGATGTGTGTTTGTGTTTTATTTTTATAATTATAATGTACACTGAAGATGTCATTTAATTTTGTTGTATGAGGTGCAATGACAATAAAGTAAACTAAACTAAATGAACGTGGAACCTTCTTGGAACTACTGAAAGGGATTGTGTTGTAAACAGGATGTAGGTGGTATCCTGTACCCCCTCCCCCTTCAAAAGAGGGAGGGCTGTTCAATTTTATTTATTTTTTAAATATATATTTTTTAATTTTTAATTTAAAACAAATACAGCATCCTTCTTTACATGCTATAGAAAGTGTATCAGTTGGTTACAAAAAATTTTTTTCGTGCATCTCTTCCACAGTCAACAAACATAATTCATATTAACTTAAGTATTTTAACTCAAATATTTGTACATGTCACCATCATTATTATATCTCCATTTTCATTTGACTATGATTGTTTAAGGGTCCTTCATCATAAAATATACCAAAATTAAATTTTTGTATAGATGTCTCTTAGCAACTCCTTGCTTATAAGATCTCTCATATAATCTTGATGCCTTCTTTC